GCGGCCATGATGGAAATGCTGGGTGCTGTTTTGTGTAGTGCAGTGTGTGCCTCGCCCTCTATAGTCTACCTTCCCAGATAAACTTGATGGCATGTCAACCTATAGTCAGGTTGTTGAGGTTATCTTTATGCCCGTTTTAATCGCTATTTTCACATGAGACAACTACTATTGTTTTGCTATAAGTCTCAAGAAAGGGGTTGAACTTTTTGAGGGAATTTCTTCTCTGTTATCTATTATTGGGAAACTGTTAACTCTTTAGGCTCTTCGTTTTGCAATCATGTTATAAACTTGTTCTATTCATATAACAAATTTTAAATATTTTTTGCACAATTTTAAGAAATTACAGGTGGTCGCGTTTTTACTAAGTAAAGTTGTGATCGAATCTTTATGCATATTTTTACCCTTGTACATCAGTGGTGCATTCCATTTTCCAATTACATTTTATTAGATACAGCTGCCTCTCATCTAAATGGAACTCATAAAGCGATTAAACACACATTCTTATTGGGAATTGACTGATTATTATTAATTATTGTATATAATTTCAAAAGATGTAGAACACCTCAATAGTAGCCTAATATCGTTTTCTTCAAATTCGTGCAACATTTACCAATCAAATAAAGAATTATATAAACAAACACGTATACATCAATCAACAATGCTATTATAAATATACATGTGTGTTTATATAAATCGCACAGTTTGGTCCAATCACTAGTTTCTTATTCAATGAATGTAATTTTAACTTCAACCTTAGTTTACTATGCTACTTGACTGAATGTCTGAAAACCTTTAACATGATAAAAGAAATCCCCCATGGTAACGATTATTCGTTTATGCCTAACTATTTATTTTAACGTTTTACTAAATCCTCGTAAAATTAGAATTAATAATGCTGTACCGTTATTAAATGCTGCATAGTACCTAACACTAACTATTATAACAGGTTAATGTTTATTTATTTATTTATTTAAATAAATAAGGTTAATGTTTAGACTGTTATCACCACACTTATTTTATATTATTAAAACATCTTGTTACATCAAAACTTCATTGTAAAGATATGGCTTTATATAAATTCAAAAAATTAATGAAAACGGCGTGTCTTTGTAAAATTATAAACCGCAATAATGTATTTTAACTACCTGGGCCGGGGTGGTTTTGTTTCTATTATTAACACAATACGATAAACACATAAGTACACAAGTATATTAAACGTGTTTTGGGACGAATTCATTCTTACCTTATCTTAATTACACAAATACAACTGGAAAAACTATATATTATATATAATCGATATATTAATAGGCAAGCATGTTTCTTTAAAACCTGTTTTTCTCAGCTTGTGTGCATTGCAGGGAAAATCTACGCATACTGTTGGAAAGATATTTGCCTGTGGGTGTGCAGAATCCCCTTATAAATTAAAATAGGCTAAAAAAGAGCACAAAAAAAGAATTTAATTTTTTTTTATTAACACGGGTCTTATGGTTTGCCATGCAGGTAAATAAAAACAATAGTAAGAAATTCCAATCGCGTTTTTTTACAATGTGGAATACTGTAGCTTGAAAATATAAAAGTCTATACATTAATTATTTTTGGAGTTTTCGACCATTGGAAAACCACCAGTAAGATTATAAATACAATAATCCCTAATAACAAATACAAAATATAAAACTCGTATTTATTTATTTATTTGCAAAAACAATAATTATTACCGACTTGTTCATGATTCAGTAGATGTTTTATAAGAAACTAATTGTGGTAGCAAATCTCTAGTATCATCGAAGTTTTATCTAGGCTATAGAAATCGAGACTTACAATATACCTATATTTGATAAAACAGAGTTAATAAATGGTAAGCCAATAAACTTGGGACACCCTGTATATAAAAACACCTTTATTTTCTTCATAAGTATAATTGTACTCGAAAGGCTCAAGATTATTTATGTATATATATGCATATTTCAGGTATATTTCCAACGATGTACAAACTTTAAGGAACAGTATTATTACACTGTTAATAATACTCTTTAAGGGTACTATACTTAAGAGTAATACTACTGTTAATTATTACACCCTTAATAACTCAATAAGGGTACTCCCATTAATGTTTTATATATTATTTGGCGTTTAACATTTTCGAAGCCCCACAGTAAATTCTTTACTTAATGCAGTGTATGTACCGGTATTAATATTATAGGTAAGCAGGCGATGAAAATCATTATCATATTTGGTAGCTTAATTATGTGATCTGAATCAATCCTCAAGTGTATACTTCACATACTTAATTCTAACTTAAAAATTGATACAGTGAGTATCAAACAGATTCATTGTTTTTGGAGCAAACATCAAGTAAATTTTCATATCACCAAAATTCCACAAAACCCCTTTACGTAGCAACAAATTTACACAAAAATTGTTAACTAAGCCTACTTGTACAAACGTATTAAACCTCGAATCGATCCTCGAAAACCACTTAAGGGCAACTGTTGCGAGATCGGCGACAAAATTAACTTGTTTCGGGGATCAGTTAATAAATTCCGCATCTTATGTAGCAGCCAGCAACGTAATAGCTGCTTTGAATATTTTTGGATTCGTGTCACGAGTGAGGGCAAGGAACCTAACGAATTCCGTCATTCCAACACCTGTGGAACGAATGGCAAATCGGAACTCAAACGAAAAATAAATTGATTCTTTTTGTAAAAGAATTAAAAAAAAACTTCCAATAAAATATTAATATTATAGACGTTTTGAGTGTTTCTTAATCACAAATATGGTTACTACATCGCACTTATAAAAAAATAATTCATATAAATCACTAGATACATTGTGTTCAGAAAGTCAACCCCAAAATGTGTTTGTAACGTTCGAACGTAACTTTATTTCTATTTCAAGACTGAACGCGTATGGTCTATTTTTAGCATTGCAACTCTTTACCTGAGCGCACAATATTATTATTTAACTATGTTTGTATAAAGGAGTTATATTCAATTATGAATCAATAACCTTCAACCATAAAATTACTTCGTATGTTGAATCCCCATGTCCACAATTTCTTGTGTACTTGGCAACCTAGCCGAACTACGAGAGGCTTCTGTTATTTTAAGCCATGCTGACACATGGTTCAATGTTTGCTCTACTACCTACTGTAAATATTGACTTGAAATTCAAATTTTAATTACCTTTCCCCATATTTCTAAGGCAGAAGATTACTTGATATACTCAATCTAATTGTTTAGTAATCAACTATCCCAGCAATTATCCTGATTTTTGAATAATTTTGATCAAGTGAACATTTTCCAAGTTAATTTCGTAGCTTTAGCTTTTATAAAAGGACTAACTGGTATTTAGAAAGTCCATTGTTACAGTTAGACCAGTTTTTGTTATTACATTAATGCATATTGTATATCTTTTGTACGCAACAGTTTGAATAATGCTGACCACACAATTTTACCCTCAACCCTTTGACTACATTGTTTCATTTATCTCACCCCCCCCCCCTACCCCCTGCAGAGACCAGCCCTCTGTACGTTACAATGCAAATGCCGTTGCTTGAGACATCGTTGTCTGCGCTGGTCGTCTGTCCAATGAAAGTTTCAGTTTCCTCTGCCCTGGCCCCTGGACATTTATCAATATTCAAAGCTCTGCTCGACCGGTGTCGGCCAAGCCGGTTTGACGCCATCTTGGATTCTCTTTCGACGCCCTGATCGATAGACTGCGCGCGCCATTCTAAACCCCGTGCATTTTCTTAATTAACTCTAAATTCAATCTGGAATCCTACACAGCCCCGTTGTTTTCATTAAACCCCACCCCCACTTTGTATGCAAAACTTCTCCTTTCCTCTTTAGAATCTCGACGTATTTTCCCTGCGAATATTTAACATTCTCGTTCACTTTGTAACGGCATTTTTCGAAATGAATGTGTTGACGGCTTTATTTGTATTGATGAAAAGATAATACAACACTCTAATCGATGGTGGTTGGAAAGCATACCGAAGATGGATCGTCTCTTAAAGGATTACGATAATTATACGACATAGTAATAGTGAAAAGCAATATTTTAAACGTTTACCAGAAAACCCATTCAAAAAACCGTTACTTCAACTCAGTTATCATAACTTTAACATAAATAGACAACAATACAGGAGAACAACAACCAAAACATAGGTATAGCACATACATTGATACAGTAGTTAAATTTATTCATTTAGTCACTACCAGATGCTCTAAGACAAGTCTCAGTCGTTTATACAGATATGACAAATTGTGAACCAGTAAGATTCGTGTATTTTGTGATAACACGGTGCTATAAATCTCAAGGAGATGGTAAGCGATAAGATGGACTGTTACACTGATTACATGTGATATGCAACATGCCACTGCCTAAACGTGATTTAGCGCTTGGACAGCACGCGACCGTCAGTAGACTATAAACATTCCAGCACACGGCTACGGTTAGTAAAATGGAGGCAATTTTGTTAATTTTAGCGTTAGTTAGTAGTGAGTTTTTATAGTTAATTACAAGACTAATAATATTATAGAATTATTGTAAATATACGGATTCAGTAGTATAACATTTAAGTGAAAGATTAAGCACAAAATAGTTCTATATATAATTAATAAATACCAGTGACATCTATGGAATAAAATTGTTTCATGTTCAATTTAAAATACATATTCATACATTCTTGTATAAATGAAGCACAACGAGTATGACACTTAAAGTCAATTAAAAAATAAAAACAGTTTTCTTGTCAAAAGAATCGACTTAATTTCATATATTGTAAGAATAGTATGCCTTATTTAATTTACACCAGTGATAAAAATAAACCAAATAGTTCAAATTTTTTTGTAACTAAATTTTAAAATGACTTTTCAGATTAAAAAATGAAATAATTCAAACTGGACCCTGCACCTTAGCAATTTTGCAGGGACAGTTATGAATGTTTAGGACGGGGGGAGAGGTTAAGCCTATCTACTAGTAGTTAGCTACTGACGTACCTGGGTTGGTCGAGACGTCAATTAGTAGCACAAAGGTAATTGGAACGGTCCGGGCGTTGTTGTCGGCGAGCGTCAGAACTTGGTATAATCGGTCAGCAGTTCTTTCGCTACAGGCTACAAGGGATGTAGGTAGACGCGGCCGGGCGCAGGGGAGGGGGAGGGGTCCTAAAAAGGGGGGAATTTTATAGAGCGGTACCGTATAGCGAGAGACCAAGACGACGGTCTCGGCTCTAGAGCCGACGGAGATAGAAAATAATAATAAAATTCGAGAAAATTCCCCGTTTCTCGGAGCGAGGGTTGAAGGTGCGGGGTGGGGAGAGGGCGCGCAGACGTAGGCTTGCACGTCTTCCGCGGAGGTGATGTGATGGAAGCCGTGCGAAAAAAGAAAGACTAGTACAGTATACTCGACGCCCGGGCTTCTCATAGGAGAAATCGCTCTTGGCCCCCCCCACCCACCCGCACAGCACGGACTTACCTCTCAATCAATTACCATTAGGTCGTGGCTCCGACAACCGACAACCCGTCCGCGGCCGTTGGGCCCGAGTAGGGCTTGTTAGACTCTCATTATACTCATTAATATTCATATGCACCTGATATATCTAGATCCATTGACGGTGCCTGCCTCTGAGAAACTGGTATTCTAAAATATATGGAATAGATTGGCCGGATTCCCGCTCAGTATGTCGACTAGCGTGCAGCTATCCTACTAAATATTTATAAGCGTCTGAGTCGTCTCTCTCGAAATGCCGATCTTTCTAAACGTGATACCTATTGAAAGACAGGGAATCTTCAAGTATTGAATGTGTATGTTGAACACAATGAGATTTAAAACTTTATGTGTTATTATAAAAAATTCTAAACATATACTCTAAGGATGACAGTATGAATCAAGGGGATATTTGTCAATTAAACGTACTCAAATGCATTATTGATTTATTCGACTTGAATTTATCAAAAATGTTTCGAGCTGTACTATAAAACAGAACGTTGTCCTTCATACTAGAAAAGATTGACAACAATAGCAATAATGTATTTTTTTTTACCAGGAGTTTGATTAGAAAGATTCTTGTTTTTATTTAAAAATCAAAATGTCATGCATTACCATTTTAAAAGACATACAATTTAGATGAAACGCTATTCAAGAAAACACTCATTTACAAGTCTACTGTTTTACTGGATTGATTATAAAATTATCTAGATTTAAACGTAAAAATAAATAAAAGCAATATTCAAATGTTTAAATTTTGTTTTGACTATAGCCACCCTAAGTACAGTATCCACATCCACTATCCAAATGGTCTTTACACTACAAAGTTATAATGACTTCAGTTTCTAATTCCAGATCGCCAACCCAACAGTCAAACCAGTCCCAGGGTAGCACCTACGCGATTCCACCTGATTTAGCTATCAACAAACCGTCCTTCAAGAATATTCATTGACTTCTCCAGCATTCCTTTCATCCCAGAATTCCTTTTTTGTCGCTGCGACTTTCTCTGCTATCCCTGCCACAGGTTCACCAACAACCCACTCTACCAGCCAAACAGCGTCAAAACAAATACAATACTTACTATGTTATACAAAAATAATTTGGTAAAAATAACTATGGATCTGTTCTAACTGTTAAGAACTTACTGAAAAGACTAGTACATTATATGTACTTGTAACAGTACGAAATTCAGCGACCTAACAATAACACTATATTGATTGTTATTTTTGGACGCCGCGCCGGTATAAACTCATAATAATTGAATGAAGAACAATTTTGTAACAAGTCAAGATAGAATATTTACTTTATCAAATAAACACTGTATAATACACTTAAAATGAACACAGTATTTAATAAAGTATATTGGATAGAAAAATGCGTATCCTAAAAACAAGTTAATTCATACAACTTGATGAGGTGTATTTTATACATATTATAATTGTATTTTTGTCTATTAGTTCTAGAAATGCATAGTTAATTCCTGAATTATTACTCTGTTTATATCATATTATAAACACTTACTTAATGACTACAATAATATTTTCTTTACTCCGTTTTTTTTTTGTTTTTTTTTTTGCAATGGTAAGAGTTCGACCATTAATTATATTGTAGAGTTAAATGTTAAAACAGTGATACACCCTAAACCACAAGTTGGTTTCATAGCGTGGTGAATTTACTTTTATTTGTAAACAAATTATATCATCAGGATAATAATTATGATTTATTAGGGAGTGTTTTTGTTTTGATACAACAGTAAACTATATTTGTCAAACATTTGTAAACTATTTTAAAATCGACCCATACAGTAACATTAATTGATTAATTAGTTTTTTTTAATATTACAACAACAACAGTGTGTCAAATACACTCTTATGGTTAAATAGATCCAGGTATTACGTTGAAATCATAGTAATTATAAAAAAATATCATGTACGTAACATAGTTAAACATATATGTAGTTTAATATGTAGTATAACAATATGATTTCCCTTAATTTTCATATTACGTAAAATTAGAAAAAAATAACGAACCATTATCTTAGAAATGCATTTATGTTATACAAGTTATCAAATTTAGCAAATCTTATGAAGTAATATTATTTAGGGTACGTTTAACCTATATTGTAATTTTAAACATTAGTTTTCATTAACGTGCAAATTCTCTTGTAAAAAGCCCTCCTCTCCAAATAAACAAATATTTTTATCTTAGTAATTATTCCAAAACCAGCATGTTTAGTAACTAAATAGAAAAATCTGACTGTAAACCCCAAATATATGATATAGCTAAGGCATAAAATCTGAGTCTACTTTACCATTGTCGAAGGGAGACTTCAATATTATATTCATCGTCCACAGATAGTTTCTGGTAACAGATACACTTCTACGACATCTAAAGGAGTTTCACATGTCATAGTTATCGTATACAAGGCAGGGACGGTATTTTCTCACGTATTTCTGTTATCTCAACGACCTCTGGTGTTTTATCTTGATGACCAACGCCGTAGTCCCGCCTCGGCTCGCCGAACCGTGAGGCGCTAGAGCTCAACCTCACACTAACTCTAGTTTCAAACTTAGTTAAAAAGATTTGTAACAGATCATTAAATTAAAACATAGGATTTTTACTTTGAAAAGTAATAACCAAAATTTGGTCAAGTACAGGTGTAGTAGAAGTTTGGACATTCAATTTAGGCCGGGTGAAACGTAGCTGTTCATTTATTTGTGTTTAGAAAATCACGATAGTTTCGTCTAAACTAATTGTGGTTACAGCTTGATTAAAAAATGTACAGATATTTGTGAAGACTCTCATCACATACATTAGCTATCGTATTTGTGAAAAGAGGTGCAAATTATGAACAGTTTCAGGTGCAGTTAGTACGAAATGAAACTATAATAATTGTATTACTTCTCAAATAAGTGTAATTTTATTAAGTGTAGTAATATTTATATCACTTAAAGTATTTGGAATGGTGTGGATAAGTATTTGTACTTCGACATTGCTTTGCTATGCTAGTTAGTCGAAAAACAACAATCAACTAAACATAAAACATGAATCTTTAAGTAATTAAAAATTGTTTGACACTAAAATTTTCATAAAAAAATACAACATTCGTCTCGCCGTGTAATTTTATCAAACTTGTACCAAACATGATGTTGTAGTCGCAAATACAAAGAGTCATGTATTTTGAAACATTTCAACACCCCTTCGTTGTTTAAAACAACTTTGGGCACACGGAGGGCCTAAATTCAGACAGTTCGCATGAAATATGTTTTTGGGGAAACAGAGGGTTCAGTTATTGAAACAATTCAATCATAGCACGACAATTGGTACAGGGCCACCCCTTACTGCGTGCCATTGGTGGGGCACCCATACGCGTCCCGCGTCCCGTAAAACGTTATTGCTCCACCCCACCACCCAAACGACCACCCTTCCAGTCAGGGGGGTACATTAGGACCAGGATCTGTTAGGGGGGGGGACAAGATCAACTCAGTTGATTAGCATGTCTAGAATGTTATTTGAAAACTTGTTCAGAGAGGCCGAGTAGATTGTATAATAGAGTTAAAATGTAAATTGTATACTGTTAGAGTGTAGTAGTTTGACTACTAAATAATAAGATTAAATTTGTTAAAGTAAACATATAACAAAGTAACTTGGCTGTAGGTTTATTGAGATTGAACATGGTTACATATTAGAAAGCTAAGTAAAAACCACTGATTGATTATGCCTCAAGGCCCTTTTTATTAAATATATATAAACGGACAATTAGTCAAACTGGTTCCTACCATCCTTGTCAAAATATAGTTTACAATTAAGATTTGTTTAAACAGGAACGCAAAAACTAATTTTTATTTGTCACGCAATATATAGTCTAAATATGTACACTCATGTAAAATAAACCTGTTACATTTACATAAGGTGGATTTATTTTATCATAAATTAAAACTTTATTAAATTAGCTGCACTAAACAATTTCATAATATACTGTAAAAGGAATAGTTTGATTATTTCTTGCTTTAAAGGTCTGACGAAATATTGTGATTATGAATTTGTTTTTTCATGAACATATTAGAATGAAGCTTTGTAAAACAAGAAGCTCTCAACATTAAGTTATTTACAATGTTATGATGTTGTAATTTAATAGATAATTAAATTTAAATAAAATATATTAAAATGAGACATTGGTGTTATAGTTCACAATCATTAAATTTAAAAAAATACACGCAGCTCAATACTTTAAAAATATGTTCCACATGAACTATAACCAACATAATTGTAAGAGAAACCGAAAGTACAGTGTTAATGAAATACCAGTAATATTGTGGGACCGTTGTTTTAAAAATAAGTGATAATTATGCGATTACAAAGTCGTTTACGCGATAATGGAATATTTATTTCACAACATTACTCGTGAAGTTTACAAAATATCGGAAAAATAAATATTTTGCATCTCCTTTAGTGGTAAAAAAATATATTTATAACATGCTCCATACAAAATACAGTATAAGGATCTAATATCTGTAGTTGTTTCGAAAATCAAATGTTCATAAGAATGTTAAATTATGAAACCTGCAAAGGTATTTTGATAAACAAGCACAAGAAACATCAATGATAATCTTCAAAATAATCAAGCTTTAAAGCATTTTTAAAATAATTTTGTCATACATATTCAAAACAAACATGTAAAATACTATTTGCCAAAAGTATCAAATTTAATCGCACAACTTAAAGATTATAACCATAATTTGAACTCGTATATCGTTTTGGTCCAACAAACACTGTACAAATCGTCTTGATAGAACGTGTATTTTACTCGATTTTATAAATTGTGCACAAGGCGCTTAAAACTAGTAACAACTATTTAATGATACAGTATTCCATTTTTTTACATTACAAAAATCTTATAGTATATAAACAAATGTAATTAAAGAAACGTTGCTACA